ATCAAAAATGCATGTGAGTACTCAAATGAAAGCTCTTGATGAGTGTAACATCATGATGAGCTTATATCTTTAAAAATGTCATTAATTAAGAAATTATCTTTAGTCTCGTGAACTATTGACATTTTTAAAGATATAAGCTCATCATGATATTACAATCATCGAGACGTTTCATTTGAATACCCACATCCATTTTTTATATATACATATATATAATATATAAAATATATGAAAAATTGATGTGGGTACTCAAATGAAAGGTCTCGATGAGTGTAACATCAGGATGAGCTTATATCTTTAAAAATGTCAATAATTAAAAAATTATATTGTATTTTGTCATATTATAAATTTTTAGATATAAGCTCATCATTATTCAAATATTTATTTTTCAAAAAAAAATGTAGGCATTGATAAAAAAGCGCTCCTATCTATCAGCAGGTCGAACAACTTTGGCAGGATCGCATTGTCATGTAGACAAAGCGACAAAGGAAATGGCGAGAAGAAAGAGATTCAACACCTTTTTCAGCCAGTTCCCGGTGCGAACGAACAGTTTAAACGGAATAGTCAATATCTGGCATGCGGAGACGTAACGTGCCTCCTATCCAGCCTCCATTCTATGGAGAATGCAACCGATCTGGCATTAAACGACGTCGACATCTGATCTCGGATCTGCTGAAAAAATGGCAAAGCTAAACCTTCATTCTACCTTCCTCTATATATACAAAAAATCTATCTCCTAATTCAGTATTGACGTTTCCTTTATGTCTGCACCAACAATATTTTCCGTCGTCTTTTTTCAATTAATTTAATAAGAACAATAAATGTCAAATTTTTCAGTATTAAATTAAATAAGAATCCTCCCCTAGAAGAATCTGATGTGGACAGCAATAAGTATATGTATATTGTATGTTGTGTACAAAAGAAAAGAGCGAAGAGGTTAATATCAAAAATATGCTGGCGATGATAGCCTTTGATCTTAGAGCGTTATTTTTCTCCGGAGGCCGTCGGCAAAGCTCTCATGAGCTTGACAACCATCTCTCGGGATGTCGAAGATGGCTTTCATGACATTATATTGAAAACTGCTCCAGAGTTTCCGGTTCCTCGCATCTCATTCATATCTCAAACACGTTTAGTTTTCACGCCCAACGCCGAAGGAATGCACGGCGTATTTACACCCTACACTGATGGAATTCCAGCTCTTTCATTGTCATGCGTCTCATATTATAGATGTAAATATAAGACAATACCGTTGCTTTTAAATAATTCAGTATTTTTCATCTACAGATCAAAGAAATTCATTGTTAAATTAATTGTAAAAATTAATAGAGCCAATTTTCTATCCATTAGTATACAGTAAAAAATTTTGCGTCAAAAAATTTTGTGTTAAAAATTTAACACTTTTTTATATTGATTTAAAAAAATAAATGCTAAATTTACACATAAAAAAAAAATTTTGTGTTAAAAATTTAACACTTTTTTATATTGATTTAAAAAAATAAATGCTAAATTTACACATAAAAATTTTAAATATTTAAACACAAAAATTTTTAACACTAAGTTATTTGACGCAAAATTTTTTACTGTGTAACAGCAGTAATTTTTTTTCAAGTTTTGAAAACTAAAATTTACGGACTAGTCCGTAAAATTAAAAAAAAATTTTTTGCAACTTATTAAACACAGTATAATTATTATTCGACACATTTTTACCAATCTAATATTATTAACAGAATTTTTGTTAAAATTTTTTCAAATAATATTTAACTATAATCAGATATAATTAAATTATACTGATAATAATATCATCAAATCGACTTTAGGAATTTTAATAAAAATTTAAGATCAATTTTTTATATTAGAAATATTCTACTGTTTTTTTCGATGGACTAGTTGCTGACTTTTAATTAATTTTTCTTTTATGGACAGTAAATTAACGATCGGGAATTCTTATCAGTACAAAAAACTCGGCCGTAATTGGGTTTTTATTATAGAAATTAAAAAAATTTCTTATCTAATGAAATGTGCGACGTTGCAATGTCGACATGAACAATGATGCGGAAGCACAAAATTCGAGTATATTTACCGGGAGTTTTTTTCACCTAAATCACAAATTATCAACGACAATTAGACTGAGGTATGTACTAGATTTTTAGTCATTTATCAGACACCTATACTTGCTTATACTCGCTTGATAATAATTATTTTTTTATTTTTCTAGCAACTAAAAATCATCAAAAGTAAAAATGAAGACTGGAAATTTTTTTTTCCTCCTATGTGTGCTCTTTGGAGTAATTTTCTCAGGAGAATTTTCGTCCTCAAACAATGTAACTGAGATTGACGACAACCTAAAATAATAATAATAATAATAATCGTGTATCAGATACTAAAAGAGCTTGCAAACAACCCAGGGACTGCGTGCATAGTATAATGCTCGGTGTATTGCAAATCAATGTCAATGCAGATATAGCTATTTAAGAAATAAATGCTATTACAATATCAACGAGCACTGTAATGACTCAAATGATTGTTTTTCTACTCGGTTAGTGTGCCAAAATGATAAATGTGTTCTGTCGAATGAAACTAAAGAAGTGAACAATTGGTGCCACCATAAATTAGGAGGTCAGTTATAATAATTGTCATGAGGAATTACTGAGAATTTTGAAATAAACTAAAAATTTTAATTATAAATCTTAAATATTTTGGGTATTTAGCTTCAGTCTGTCGGGGTCCAGAAAGGAGCCAAAAATATCCGGAAGTTGCCTGCTTCTTATTCGATGGAATATGTGATTCCAATCATATTTTTAGGGACTTTTATGAAAAATATAACGAACCTCGGGTAAGTTATTAGTAGTTTCTGATACGAATAATAATTCTCACGGATTAATCGATATTAATTTCACTGTGCTTATTCAGATTCGATAATTTTTTTTTATTACTTGCACCGATAGCAGGATTTGTTTATATTTAATTTAATAAGCTTTATTAACTGTTAATAAATAATTTTTTAAAATCATAGGATTTAATAAATATTAGCAACCTTGCAGTCACTATGTGACTGCCGTGACGTGAACTATAAAAAAATTAAAATTTTGCTTTATTGAGTGACTTTTGTTAAATTACACTGTACTTTCTTAAATAGTGATGTTTTTAAAGATATAAGCCCGTCTCGATGTTACACTCATCGAGAGCTTTTATTTGAGTACCCACATCAATTTTTCATATATTTTATATATTTATATATATCACAAATACCATATATATATAAAATATATAAAAATTGCCATGTGGGTACTTAAATGAAAGGTCTCGGTGAGTGTAACATCAGGATGAGCTTATATTTTTGAAAATATTTATTAAAACTTAATAAATTAAATAATTGTCTTTAAATTATTAATCGTGAATAAATCCTTCTATCAGTATGGACTGACTGATTTCTTCTTCTTTTATTATATAGTTTGTACAGGACAATCCAAAGTTGGTGTGGAAAAACAGCAGTACCGCTGATCTAAGCAAGGTTGTGTATGCTGGAACGTCGGGATTTACGTTACCTTTTGGAATTTGTCAGTCTGCGTCCAGTCCCATCAAGCATGTTGGATCGTTTTCTAATGATCTTTTTCCAACTTGTTTTTTCACTGATCCCGTCAAAGGTCTGATTAGTACTGACAAATTTGATATCTTAGTGCATGAGGACTAAGTTCGTCACAACATAATTATCATCACTATATCTGTAGTATCATTAACAAATCCAATAAAAAAAAAATTAAATTTCCCACAAAAAAAATTTCTTGTCATTTCTCCGTTTTTTTTTTTTTTTTTTTTAATATTCAACTTAGAATTTTAATATTTAAGACCATAATTATCAGTATGTAAAATATAAAATGACATTATATAATACGAATAGTTATTAAAATAATTACAATTAGATCAGAAATTAAGAAAAGATCCACCATTACTTCCATTTTTTTAATGTAATTTTTGAGTAAAATTTCTTCCCGTGCAGATATCGAAATATTTGCACCCAACAAGATTAATTTTAAAAAATTAAAAAAAAAAAAAATAAAAAGCAAAGAATTAATTTAGAATATTTCAACCGATTTTACGCCGACAAGCTTGGGATTAAAAGTAAAGGACGATAATTTCTGCTTGCACCATAAGAAGTGAAAAGTAATCTCCAGCTAAAAGGCACCGTAAGTGCTCGGGTAATTTAAGCGGGTGTAAACATATTTTTCCGCAATTTGTAGCCAATGTTGTTGCAGAAATTCTTATTAAAATTTATACAAGCGTATTTTCTCGAGAACTTTTTAACTATTTCCGACTTAGGTTACAGAAGGTCGAGGATAAAATGAAGATTTCAGTATCAGAGTTGGAATTAAAAGTCGTATTTATTGATTATGATCGACATAAAATTCCGAAGAAATGGTAACCATGGTGACCAATGTAAAGTGGGTCTAAGACCACAGCGATAGCGGCCGAGGGGTAATTTAGGCCGGTGGCGGAGCTGGTGTGGCTAGGACAGCGTAAATGTCCAGCTGAACGTCGAGTCCTGCTCCAGGCTCGCTAATTGCCGCCACCACAACTCGGTCCTCTCCGGGTCCGCCTTTGACGATCGTTACATTTGCATCGGATCCAGGCGCATTGACAGCATTTACGGCGGTGATTGTGCCATCGGCGTTGAATCCTGACTGCGCTACCATTGGCTTCCCCGGGACTCCCAGCTGAAAGCATTCGGAGGATAATCGTGGCTTTTCGGGAGCTTAACTTGGTAATTGCGATTTATAGGTTGGTAATTATTCGATTTTTTTAAATAATTTATTTATTTTGTAGGTCAAAAAATTTTTTTAAAAATTATAATTGCCCCTTCTAAGAGAATGGATAATTTATTTCAATATTGCGCCGACAAACTTGCAAGTTTTGATGAAATAAAAAGAAAAAAAATTATATTACAAAGTTTGAAGACTTATAGAAGCAATTGTTAAAGCTTGTGTTAATTTCTATTGAAGAAAAAGGTGTGAAAAAAATTGTGTTTGTTTAAAAAATTAATAAGAAATAATTAGCAGCGCCTTGTGTTGGCAGGAGATTAATTGTGGTAAAAGTCAATAGAAGTGGGATCTATTGACAGTCTGTGGTAACTGACATCATAGATTTTAGATTGGTTAGATTAAATGGGAATTTTAGGTGTGAGGAGGTTGAGGCAACGAGCAGAGTGTGTGTGCTGACACACGAGTCCACAAACTCTTGTCCACTCAGTTGATCCATTTATTTATTTTATTGAGATGATATTTGACAGAATTAGTGATTAAACAAAAGGAATGATGATATTATAATGTGGAAATTTTTTTTATTAAATATATATTATTGTGTTAAAGAGTAGCACTTAATATCAGTGTTATTTCGATGATATAATAAAATAAATACCACCGGTGATTGGATGAAGATATTTAGGGAAATATTCAAAGAGGCTTGGCTAGTATTTATAATAAAAAAAAAAAAAAAACTCACTCTGAAAAGTCGTCTTGAAGCAACAAGAACATCTCCCGGTTTTCGTTGACCAACGTGTACATCATTAGAAGCGGCAAGGACGACCAGCGCAAGACATACAGCTGCAAAAATACAGAGTTTCATTTTTACTATTACCGCGTAATTATTTTGTACTGTTATTTGTTTAAACAGAAAAAACTAAAATGAGAAAAGAGAAGTTGAGAAGAAACGAGTTATTTTATAAACTATACTGACGCCACTAATTGGATCCGGGAACTATTTATACCGACGTATGTTATCTCTCGGGATTATTTGTCCTCGAAAACTCACTCTAGAGTACCTAGAAAACCAATTAACAATAGTCAATAACGGTAATTAAGATTTATTATCAGTATTTTATATATTATTGAATTGTTATGAAAAAATTATTTTATCTGTGAGACAAATATTTGCTTTTGATATTATCGACAATTGTTGCAATTAATTTGAATTTTATAATGGTGTGAGGGCAATCACTCACTAAATAATTAAGATTCTTTTTAATAAATAAAGTAAATAGAATGAATGAGGATGAAGGAAAAAATACTTAAGAGGACGATTTAATGAAGGATAAAGATTGTGGAAAGAATGAATCGTTTAATGAGATGAATGCTAAAAGAACTTTGGATATTTTCCAGAAAGTTTAATGGATGACAATAATAATAATTATAATAATAATAATAATAATAATATGTTGGACAAGATTATCTGTCATCTTAACCTTAGATTCAAGTGTTGACTTGTTTGGAGGAGATAAATCATAACGGATTAAACAACGATGATAGTAGAGTTGATTTTTTAGTATTAATTCTGCACTCAAAGATTATTATTATTATCTATATTATTAAGAGAATAAACAAAATTCTGTCTTTTTATGGTTAAATTTAATATTGTTGGGAAAGTCTTGACGTGGAGTTGTGCCTTTTAAAGGTTTCATATCATTCTAACCAATAATCAATTTTTGATGATAGGTATTTAGGCTGCATTTAAAAATGCTCTATCTCTCGATACATAATGAAGAAATTACCTTGTATCTTGTGAAATATTGACATTTTTAAAGATATAAGCTCATCCTGATGTTACAATCATCAAGAGCTTTCATTTGAGTACCCACATCAATTTTTCATATATTTTATGTATTTATATATATGAATATATGAAAAATATATCAAAAATGCATGTGGGTACTCAAATGAAAGCTCTTGATAAGTGTAACATCATTCTAGTATCTAAAAAAATGTGATATGTTGACAAAATACTATACAATTTCTTAATTATTGACATTTTTAAAGATATAAGCTCATCTCGATGTTATACTCATCGAGACCTTTCATTTGAGTACCCACATCAATTTTTCATATATTTTATATATTTATGTATAATATATATGTATAAATGAAAAATATATCAAAATGCATGTGAGTACTCAAATGAAAGCTCTTGATGAGTGTAACATTAAGATGAGCTTATATATTTAAAAACGTCAATAGTTCAGAAAGTACAGTGCAATTTAACAAGAGTCATTATTTCACATAGTGACTGCAAGGTTGCTAGTTATTACTATATCTTTTAAAAGAAACTTGACTTAACTTCAAACTGATCAAATTTCTTCATTTTAATTTGAAACTATATTCAATATTTTCTACAATTTAACAATTCCAGAGTTTCTTGTTCCTTTGTTACCTCTCTATCCTCATCACCTAGAAATAAATATCAACAAAATCGACGAAATAACCTGAGAGAGGACGGTAAAATTGGAAATACGACTCATATTTGAACTTCCGTGTAATTTGAAACGCGCTGTTTGTCCCTTTGGGTGTAAAATACCAGTGCGTTGTCGACATTTCCTCGGCTGAAGCCTTGTCTATAGTCCTTCTTTTATACATAACTAGAATTTAATTTTCGCGCGCAAGCGCGCGCGTCATATTTATTGTTATGATATATTTATGTGTCGTTTATGTATAGTATATTCACTTTCAACCTATCAGAATGAGAATATTTATTTTCGACCAATCACGTTACGAATAGTTTGATGCCACATACATTTCATCTCTATTTTATATTAGGATACATACATGTATATATATATATATATATATTCCATATTGTGGAAGACAGACTGGCTCCCTACCGCTATCTGTATCCACTGGAGCAAACTCTGTCTCACCGGGAGCGGCAGTTTTATGGGGCAAGTTCTACCACCGCAAGTGTCCCGAAAGGACGAAGACCACCGACTACAACCAGCCCAGACTAGACCTCCATCCTCGACGGGGGCTGACACATTTACTCGTGTCCCACCGCGTGATCCCTCAGGAACTTCATTTATGAACCGACCTTCCTTTTTTATCTGTCCCCGTAAACTATTTTTCAAACGCTCCTCGTAAAAAAGTTAACAAATAAATAAAATTCTTGATAAAATTGTAAATTTTTTATTTTTAATCACCAACTATTTTATAATTTACACAATAATTTTTTATTAATTTTTGCTTTCAAAATTTGTCTTAAAAATTGATTGTTAATTTTTTAAAGATTAAATTTTGGAAAAAATGGAGTTAGTTTGAAAAATTTTAATTTTAGAAAATAATATTTGGGACAAAAATTGTAAAAATTCAATTTTAAACAAATTTGGCTTTATAAAATTTGTTAAAAATCAATATTTTGGAAAATATAATTATTATTTGTACAAATTACACATACTAAGGTTTTACAAATGTATTATTTGAAAAAAAGGCTGTAATTTTGATTTTAAAAAGGAATTTTGGAACAAAAATTGTAGAAAATAAAATTTCTAACAAATTTGGCTTTACAAAAATTTTTGAAAATCATTATTTTGGGAAATATAATTATTTTTTGTACAAATTACACATATTAAGGTATTAACAATGTATTATTTAAAAAAACAAGGCTGTAATTTTAAAAATTTTGATATTAAAAATGAAATTTTGGAACAAAAATTGTAGAAAAATTAATTTTGAACAAATTTGGCTTTATAAAAATTGTTAAAAATCAATATTTTGGAGAATATAATTATTTTTTGTACAAATTACACATATTACGCTTTCAAAAATGTATTATTTAAAAAAAAAGGCTGTAATTTTGAAAATTTTGTTTTTAGAACCAAATTTTTGGAACGAAAATTGTAAAAGAAAGAATTTTCATCAAATTTGGCCTTATAAAATTTTTTTAGTCAATATTTTGAAAAATATAATTACTTTTTGTACAAATATACATATTAAGATTTTAAAAATATATTATTGAAAAAAAGGCGGTAATTTTGAAAATTTTGATTAAAAAAAAAAATATTTGAACCAAAAATTGTAGAAAAATAAATTTTGAACAATTTTTGTCTCTTAAAAAATTTTTATCTTTGATATTTTATAAAATATGATAATTTTTTAAACAAATTTATAATTATAAATAGTCCTTTTAAATTAAAAAAAAATTCAATATTATTTTAATATATTTATTTAATTTTCCAAAAAAAAAATCTATATATTGATTGATGACCCATTTTACCCAATAAAATAAAATTCTAATTATTTCTACGAATTCTTAATTGAAAATTTAATTAATCTCTCGATCTCTTGTAAAGTTTAAAAATTAAAATAGAAATCGATGTCGGAGATACTTATAAATATTTAAAGCGATAAAAGACGAGAATATAATATATATAAAAGTAAAATCGGTAAATGCAATTGGTAGTGATGGAATAATTGAAATAAGGTAAATTTAATCGTGAATACAATAGAAATCAAGCGCTTGCCGTTTACTCTGGAGACTTTTTGATATTATGAAAAGTTAAAGTTATTTCTATTGGGTTTGGGAGCTGCCGCTTATAGCTTATAGCGCTTATAGCGTATAGCGCGCTGGGAAATCAGACGACGGTTCAATTTTCCGCATAGAAGAGTACCAATGACGTCGACTTAAATGTAACTGTATTGATAGTCTTCATCTTATTCTTATTTTTTTATTTTTTTTATTACTCTTGCTCTACGTCTTTGTGTATGTGTGTGTGCTCCTAACAAATCTATAACAAGTCGAAAAACTCGAGAATATAAAACAGGGGAAGGGGATGATAGATAGATAGATCCGTTTATTACTTTTCAATCAGACCCCCACCCCCCACCTCCACCCACTTGTGCGCCAAGGAGGCTTGCCAATTTTTTATCGTTTCTTTTCGAGGATCCCGTAAATATAAAAGCCAATTGCCGATAGACAGATATGAAAGAACGAATTAAATAAAGCCTAAGTAAGATTATTGTTGAGCATTTTAGATCCTCTTCGGCTTAATCAGATGATAATAATAATAATATTCTATTGAATCAATAATTTTGGAGTTATAGACATTTTTATAGTGGCTAAGCGATTAATTTTTATTTTTAATTGTGTCATTATTACTATTTTAATTATTATATCTCTTAAAATATTGCAGATAGTCCTGTAATATAAAAACGTTTTTTGTAGAAAATTTTCTAAGCTACAATTTTTGTCTTATAAATTTTTTCCAAAATTTAATATTTTAGGAATTATAATCATTTTTAAAGTAACTAGATAATTAATTGTCATTTTTTACAATTTGAATCCTTTTTAAAGTAATCATATCTCTTAAAATATTGAAAATAATCCCATGGTATAAAAACGTTTTTTGTAGGAAATTTCCTAAGCTACAATTTTGGTTTTATAAATTTTCTCCAAAAATCAATATTTTAGGAATTATTGCCATTTTTAAAGTAACTACACGGAAAGAACAAGATGACACTGGATACCATCTCAGATTATACTCAGTGACATCTGAGGCGAAAAAAATTCTCAGATGGTAGCTAGTATAATCCAGATTATACTGAATAATATCTGGATTATACTCATTGTAATCTGGATTATACTCATTGTTATCTGGATTATACTAGCTACTATCTGAAAATTTTTTTTCACTCAGTATAATCTGGGATTATATCCAGTATAATCTTGTTCTTTCCGTGTAGATAATGATTTTTCATTTTTTACTATTTTAATTTTTCTTAAAGTAACTATATCTTCTAAAATATTGAAAATAACCCCATAATATAAAAACGTTTTTTATAGGAAATTTTCTAAGCTACAATTTT